GGAAGGAAAGTTATGACCAACCTAGACAGCATATTAAAAAGCAGAGACATTTCTTTGCCAATAAAGGTCCATCTAGTCAAAGCTATGGTTTTTCCAGTAGTCAGGTATGGATGTGAGAGTTGGACTACAATGAAAGCTGAGCACCAAAGAATTGATGCTTTTGAACTGTGGTGTTGGAGAAGACTCTTGAGAGTCCCTTGGACTGCAAGGAGATCCAACCAGTGCATCTTAAAGGAGATCAGTCCTGAATATTCATTGGAAGGACTGATGCTGAAGCTGAAACCCCAATACTTTGGCAACCTGATGCAAAGAACTGATTCCTTGGAAAAGACCCTGATGCTGGGAAAGATTGAAGGCAGGAGGAGAAGGGGACAACAGAGGTTGAGATGGTTGGATGGCATCACCGACTCAATGGACATGAGTTTGAGTAAACTCTGGGAGTTGGTGATGGACAGGGAGGCCTGGTGTGCTGCAGTCCATGGGGTCGCAAAGGGTCGGACACGACTGAGCAACTGAACTGTGTGAAGCTTTGCTAACTGACCTGAAGCTTTAATAGATGCTTGGGCTTCCCCGGTGGCTCAGCTGGTAAAGAATCCGCCTGTAATACGGGAGACCTGGGTTGGATCCCTGGGTTAGGAAGATTCCCTAGAGGTGGGCATGGCAATGCACTCCCATATTCTTGCCTGGAGATTCCCCACGAACAGAGGAGCCTGGCAGTCTATAGTTCATGGGGTCACAAAGAATCAGACACGGCTGGGTGACAGCCCAGTGCAGCGCACCATTGAGAAAGCAATTATCATTGTCTGGAGTGAGATGAAGGAATTCGAAACAGAAGTTTCCAATAAATGTGGGTGATTTGTTCCAATGAAAAAGAGTGATTGTGTGAGGGGAAATAATTAGGGCATCCAAAAGGCAAACTTCTGGATAATTGATGAACATAACACTTAAGCCTTGATTCCAAGTTTCCATCTTAGAGTCTCTGAAATGAGCCCCAATGATCCTCATTGGGAGGTATTTATACTCTGGTGTAGTCGCCAGTTCCTGATCGTGGGCTGGATCCATCGATTTCATTCTAACCAGTGGAATGTTGGAGGTGGGGGTGAGGGAGTCATTTCCATGATTAGGTCACCAGCAGATGCGTCTTCTCCTTTGACGATTCTCTTCTGCTTTCTCCCGGGTCACTCTCCGTGGGGTGAACCACCTCTCCTGTCATGAAACAATCTTGGTGGAAAGTTGTCCGCAATGATGGGAAGAAGCCACAGCTGCTCGAGTGAACTGGCAGGTGGATCCCAGTGTAGTTTGATCTGGATATGACTGAAGCTGGACCAACGCCTTGACTGCAGCCTATGGAGATGCTGAGTCAAGAGGGACCCAACCAAGGTGCCTCAGATTCCCGACCCCAGCGTGAGGTAGTAAGTCTTCATTCTTTTAAGCTGCTAAGGGTTGGGATGATTAGCAATAGGCAACTAATGCAGAAAACTTGCTGGATAAATAAGCAGTTTGCCCTTCTTATGTCACTTCTTCTATTTTTGTTTTTTTTTTTTAATATCCAGATTCACCACTACACTTCACTATCTTAGGCTTCTTCACTTTCCTTACTAAATCTTTTCTTAACACGTTATGTTTTACAGGAGTCAGTGTACAGATAGATATAATAGAAAAATTAGATTTTTCCTTCTAGTTTTAATGGTTCAGAGGTTGATAAAAGAAGAAATGAATAGAGATGTGATGTCTTTATAAATCCAACACTATTGTAAAATTAGGAGGTATTTTGCTTTGATAAATTGCATACAAAAGATGAAATCAAAGTATTAAAGTATCTTTATCTTCTCTGCTTTATTTTAGCAAATTTTGGTAAAAACTATGGTAGTACTTATTAAATAAAAATGACAGTCTTCAAATTTTTTATGTAATTACATAATAATAGAAGAAAGAACTCTTGGTGTCTCACTGATGATATTTGAGTACTATAGAACAAGAATGAATGGTGGGCGTGTAGAGAATGTGAACTTATTTCCGTGAAAACCTAGTCCACTGGGTATTGCAGCACTGCGGCTTTGGTCGCTTGCTGTCACACTCAGCAGGGACTGCTTCCTCCTGCTGACAGAGCAATCTCATTGGATGACAGCAATCCGGCTGTCAGGCTCTGCCTCTTCTGGGTACCACGACTCCCCTGGAGCGCTGACTCAGACTGCCAAGGCTGCCAGTGTGGAGGACTCAGAGCGACTTTCTTTCATCCTTCAGTGGTAATGCTCTGATAAAATGATACCAACGAACTGCATTTTCTCCAAATATAAAGCCTTCATGGAGCATTTCTTCCTGTCTAATTCAGAGAATCAAGCATAAATCCATAAATGAAGTCAACAGAAGCATCTCTGTGTCAAGTACCTTGCAAAGGTGCTTTTAGAACTAAACCCAAACAAAAAAAATTACTTTTTTGTGCGAAAGCCTCCCAATTTTTCATACAATAGATTCCTGGAAAATCATGGCCAGAATTATCTGAATCAAGGCAAAGGAAACCACTTGACCTCAAACTAATTCCACCCAACATCAAATAAAAGTCATCCTCAACCTTTCCATGTCCTTCTGTTAACAACAACAGCAACGACAAGAACAAAAAAATTAATAAATGTCTCAAGATCTCAGTCAGTTAAGATTCTGCCTGCAATGCAGGAGACCCAGGTTTGATCATTGGGTTGGTAAGATCCCCTGGAGAAGGGAATGGCTACCCACTCCAGTATTCTTGTCTGGAGAATTCCACAGACAGAAGAGCCTGGTGGGTTACAGTCCAAGGGGTTGCAAAGTACTAGACACAACTGAGCGACTAGCATACACACACACACACACACATTATTTTGAACAACTGGCAGAATACAAGAAGTTCTGTTCAGTCGCTCAGTCATGTCCAGCTCTTTGTGACCCCAGGACTGCAGCGCCACAGGTCTCCCTGTCTTCACCAATTCCCAGAGCTGGCTTAAATTTATGTCCATTGAGTCAGTGATGCCATTCAGTCATCTCATCCTCTGTTGTCCCCTTCTCCTCCCATTCTCTATCTTCCCCAGCATCAGGGTCTTTTCCAATGAGTCACTTCTTCCCATCAGGTGGCCAAAGTAATGAAGCTTCAGCTTCAGCATCAGTCCTTCCAATGAATATTCAGGGCTGATTTGCTTTAGGATGGACTGGTTTGATCTCCTTGCAGTCCAAGGAACTCTCAAGAGTCTTCTCCAACACCACAGTTCAAAAGCATCAATTCTTCAGTGCTCAGCTTTCTTTATAGCCCAACTCTCACATCCATACATGTCTACTAGAAAAACCATAGCCTTAACTAGATGGATCTTTGTTGGCAAAGAAATGTCTCTGCTTTTTAATATTCTGTCTAGGTTGGTCAAAACTTTTCTTCCAAGGAGCAAGCATCTTTTAATTTCATGGCTGCAGTCACCATCTGCAGTGATTTTGGAGCCCAAAAACATAAAGTCTATCACTGTTTCCATTGTTTCCCCATCTATTTGCCGTGAAGTGATGAGAGCAGATGCCATGATCTTTGGTTTTTGAATGTTGAGTTTTAAGCCAACCTTCTCACTCTCCTCTCCCTTTTTCATCAAAAGGCTCTTCAGTTCCTCTTCATTTTCTGCCATAAGTGTGGTGTCATCTGCGTATCTGAGGTTATTGTTACTTCTCCCAGCAATCTTGATTCCAGCTTGGGGTTCATCCAGCCCAGCGTTTCTCATGATGTACTCTGCATATAAGTTAAATAAGCAGGGTGACAATATACAGCCTTGATGTACTCCTTTCCCAGTTTGGAACCAGAATTTATTAGAATTTGGAACATAGGAAAGGAGAACCCATATGACTGTTTCCCATAGAAAACACAGTGGAGCAGGGAAGAGGGACACTGGATCCTTGCAGCCTATTACACTGCTGGCTTTCAAAACAAATAATATGAATATATTCACAATAATGCAGAATTATTTTCACTTTTGGACAATGCAAGTAAGATTGACTTGGGCTTCCATACAAAAATCATATGTTATGAATACCATTCTTGATATGAAAGTGGCAACAAATCTTCCAGAAGATAAGAAGAATAAAAGAGGCTGAGAGTAGAAATTTAGAGGCTTTTTTATCCTCATTTGAAGACATGGAGATTGGTAATAAACTGTCGATAATGATGGGAGAAGAAGCAGTAGTTTCAATGAATTATTTAAAGCTAAAACATTACCAATAGAAGAGCCATATACTGAAAGTGTGTAGAAGAGGTAGGGAGGATCATAGCGAGAAGTCAGTAAACTACACCAAAGTGGATAAATCAGTATAAATATTGATAAATATATTGTTAAGAATATACATAAGACAAAAAATGATTTCTAAGTGAAACTGAAGAATACTGTTTTGTTTACAAACACCACTCTACAATACAATCTTTTTGAACTATAACTGATGTAATTTTAAGAAAAAAATATTTTTGAAATATTATAGAATAAAATGGCACTAGTATAGGCTGTATTTTACTGATTCTCAATGGAAGCTAGTGTGTAACAGTTTTGATAATTCATGTTTGTAAGGCCGTTTGCATATTAAATAGAATAACTTGTCCAGCTACCCAATTCCTCTTTATTCCAAAACTTCACAAACTGGTTCCTGGGAGCCTCTGAGGTACTTCACGTGATTCCACTGATAATGGCACGTTCTCTGCCCCCTGAGGTCACTATCAGTGACCTGGTGTCCTTTTCAATACCATCACTGCCAAGTGTCCACAAGTCTGACGTGACAAACTGGTGCTACGCAGAAGCCATGTGGTCCTCAGGAGCCGGTGGGGTGGCTGTTCCTCTTTGCCACCCTCCCACACTCATAACTCAAGGTTCCAGAGGGTTTGTTTGTTTTTTTTTTTAAAGAAAATTCCTTTGGCTTCTGCCCACAGCCTTTCCTCGTACGAAGCTCAGGGAAACATCTAAGGGTCCAGCGGGGAACTGGTCCAGGACATCCTGCTTCCAGCCTGCAGGATGGCAAAGGAATTGTGGAGACTGACGCTCCATTACTTTGGCCACCTGATGCGAAGAACTGACTCATTGGGAAAGACCCTGACGCTGGGAAGATTGAGGACGGAGGAGTACGGGGCGACAGAGGATGAGATGGCTGGCATCACTGATTCAATGGACGTGAGTTTGAGCCAGCTCAGGGAGATGTCGGAGGACAGAGGAGCCTGGTGTGCTGCAGTCCATGGGCTCACAAAGAGTCGGGCGCGACTGAGCGACTGAAAATAGCAACAACGGGCACAGCTGGCCTCAAGCATTTGAAAGCTGCCCGAATCTACTAGTTCCTTCAGTTTAGATTCTCTTCTCAGATTTGTTTTATATCTTAAGACTCAAATTCTCTACGCAGTAGGTGTTATGACCTCACAGCTATCAAAACTCATGGCTTCCCAGCTGTGGAGGAAAGCGAGAGGGACTCATCATAGACTCACTTTCCCAAATCTCAGAACAGGTTTCTGGTTCCATAAGGCAATGTCAATCAATCGACGATCACCGTCCGATCAGTTAAGGAGGCAGAGTTCTGTAAACCCATGACTGTTCTAAAGGAAATCCTGGAGTAGAGAGTGTAGGAAGAAGGGCCTTCCCTGGAAGTCCAGTGGTTCAGTCTTCCCCTTCCAATGAAGGGGACGTGGGTTCTATACCTAGTTGGGGAGCTAACAGTCAAAAATGCCTCGACCAGGTAGAGAACCCACGTGCCTCACAGTCAAAATGCCAAAACATAAGACAGAAACACTGTTGTAACAAATTAAATAAAGTCTTAAAAAACAGTCCCCATTAAAAAAAAACCTTTATAAAAAAGCGTAGGAAGGATTATTCTTCAGAAGAATGAAGGGGAGGGTGTGGTGTTAGAACTCAGACTAGAAGAGCGTCCTGGCACAGGAAACAGTGCAGTTACAAGGTCGTGGAGCCCCTCTTAGGGGATATAAGTTGAGTGGTTTAAAAGCCGAGTGCTTTCAGTATGTACGCACCTTCACAGATAGCAGAGAAGTTTGTCCACGTGGTGTAATTTGAGATCAGCAAAGTCAAAACTGCGTTCATTCTCAACCCTATCACGAAGCCCAAATTCTCCACAGCTATTTAGTGTTCGGTTCAAGGAAGCTTCTTTCAAATGTGGGCGCAGTGGTGAAGAATCCGCCTGTCCATGTAGGGGAAGCAGGAGATGTGGATTCAACCCCTAGGTCGGGAAGATCCCCCGGAGGAAGAAATGGTAGCCCACTCCAGTGTTCTTGCCTGAGAAATCCCATGGAGAGAGAAGCCTGGCGGGCTACTGCCCATGAGGTCGCAAAGAGTGGGACACAAGTGAGCGACTGAGCTTGCACAGAGAGGATGAACGCAAAGTAGGAGAATTCCAAGTTATCCTGTCACGAACTTTAATAACTTCCCTCAAATTAGAGTCTTAAATTAGCTGAATAGTCAAGGAAAGCCCTGATGGTTTGAGTTACACAGGGAGAGATTTGGTATGCCTGTTTTCATGATGCAATGCTTAGGAAAAATGCAAACTGAAGTATACAGTCTTATGAAAAAATGAAACCATTCACCTTAGAAATTAAGACTCAGGAAACATGAGGCATATGGTGAGGCTCTGAAGGAATGGGCCACTCGTGTTCCCTCACACACCTGGTGGTTTAATGTCAGGCTTTTGAGTTAAGGCATCGGGCTTGAATGCTAGTGAATTTGGGCAAGTTCCTTCACACTCTGCTACAGCTTCCTTGACTTCTAAGCTACAAATGGTTTTTAAAGCCTCATGGAGTTGTGGTGAAGTAAAATAATTATATACAACACAGAGCGGTGCTGAGTATATACTAAGACTTGAAAAGTATTCATGCTAGCTATTACTCATAGGGAGAAGTTTAGACACTCTAAAGCTGTGAGCTTCTAGAAGCAATGGAGAAAGAAAAATGGAGGGGAGGAAGTTCAAGGTCTGACAGGCACCAGTGGGCACATTTAAGCCCGGGATAACATCACTGCGGCAACCCTTGTGACTGCAGAATTGGTTTATGTCCAAAGCTTCACATATGGTTTTCGGGATGGAATTTTGACAGTTTTGTCCTGCTGTGGGGGTGATGCCTTATTAGACTGCCCAGTGCAGAGGTCAGGTTTGTATAATTTGAGTATAATTTATCCCCTGAATTTACTCAGTAACTACTTTGAACTTAAATCTGGACATGGCTGTTACTTAGCCAATTTGGCATGAGAATTTTGTATATATCTTTTGAAAGAAAACAAAAAGTGTGGGACTCCCTTACTCCTCCTTCATGGAATAAGAATATTGTATGGAGAAATACACACCCATACATTAGATTTGGGGTTGTTAAATTAAGATCCTGATGCTGGGAAAGATTGAGGGCAGGAAGAGAAGGGGACGACATAGGATGAGATGGTTGGATGGCATCACCAACTCAATGGACATGGGTTTGGGTGGACTCCGGGAGTTGGTGATGGACAGGGAGGCCTTGTGTGCTGCGGTTCATGGGGTTACTAAGAGTTGGACACGAGTGAGCGACTGAACTGAACTGAAATTAAGATCTGAGCAGCTCAAGCCTTGGTAGCTATGATCCTGTGCCATTCAGAGACCTCTTGCTTGTGTGCTAAGTCACTTTTGTTGTGTCCGACTCTGCAACCCCATGGGCTGTAGCCCGCCAGGCTCCTCTGTCCATGGGATTTCTTAGGTAAGAAGACTGGAGAGGGTTGCCATGCCCTCCTCCGGGGGACTTTTCCAACCCAGGGATAGAACCCAGACCTCTTTTGTCTCCTGCATTGGCAGGTGAGTTCCTTACCACTAGCACCATCTGGGAAGCCCAACAGACATTTTGGGTTCTCAGTTTTCTTTTTTTTTTTTTGCTCAATTGTTTGTGAGACTGTTTAGTCACATAAAACCTTATCTGGAAGCCATGCGTATAAAACAGATATGAGGGATGCTTCTTGATTAAAATATAAAAGAAATGATAGAATCCTGAAAATCCATCTCCTTCCCTTGGTTCCTTTGCAGTTCCCTAGGGCGGTTACATAACTTCTGGACAAAAGCCTCCCCCAGGCCCTTTCTGCTTTTAGACACGTATTTCAGCTGAGCATACTTCCCGCAAAGCTATGCACAACTAAGGTACCATAACCATGGCAAGTGGTTCCGACAGCTTTGTGCCTCTTCTGTTTTCTTCTTTTAGTCTCCTTAAAATACACTCTTAAAAATGTCTTAATTAAATGGAAAGAGGTTATCAGTAAACCACCACCAAGAAACCATTTTAAAATACGGTAAGATCACAAATGTGTTCATATCAAGTAATCATCCATGAGACATTCAAAAATCAGTGGATTACTCTTGTTTCTCTGGGTTAAACTTCGTCAACATTTCTTGTTGCAGACAAGAAAACACCACTCTCTTGTATTCATGTTTGGAGCCTTAATTACAGTTATGACAACGATTGCTTCTTGTCTAGGCCTTCAGTGTTTGGAGTAAACAACCCAGATTTGAGGTCAAAAGAGTTGGTTTTAAGTCCAGTTTCTACCACTTGCTAGTTCTGTGCAAGTTAGTCAAAATGCTAAACATTTTGAGCCACAAGTTGAGATAAATAATATCCTTTGAGGTATTCAATTAACTTTGTGACCACCATACTTTCTCTTTCTGTACAGAAAAGCGAACCATATGCATCGCTCTCTCTCCCAGTTGGTTTTCCCGTATCGGTCACTACGGAACGTGAGTCACATACCCTGTGCTGTATAGTAGGTTCTCGTTGTTTACCCATCCTGGGTACAGCGGCACATACGTGTCAGTCCCAGTGTCTCTGGTAGGTGGCCACAGGGAGACAGGGAGATGAGCTAAGAGACCATCACAGCAATTTACACATCAAGAGGGTGGCCCCGACCAGTGCCCCAGCCTTTTTAAAAGTTAACTTTATTAGAGTTCAGTTGGTTTACAATGCGATGTTAGTTTCTGCTGTGCAGTGAAGTGAATCAGCCGGGCTGTTTTCTGTCTTCCGCAGTGGAATGTAACCTCCTTGACTGCAGGAGTTCGCTTCTTCCGAGAGGTATCGACTCCCCAGAGGGCTTCCCAGCTGGCTCTAGTGGTAAAAAACCCACCTCCTGATGCAGGCGACCTCAGAGACCTGGGTTCGATCCCTGGGTCAGGAAGATCCCCTGGAGGAGGGCATTTCAGCCCACTCCAGTATTCTGGCCTGAAGAATCCCATGGACAGAGGAGCTTGAAGGGCTACAGTTCACGAAGTCGCAAGAGTCAGACACGACCGGGAGACTAAGCACACACAATTACCCAAAGCAGTGCTGAGTATAGAGGGCAAGATGAATCAAGTTTTGGGTGACTAACTGAACAAATAAGTGAATAAATAAATGCACATTTTGAAGTGGTTTTGTCCCACAGCACCTACCACAGTGTCTGACATGGAGAAAACACCAATCAAACGTTACTATTCTTAAGCAATTTGCTCAGAGTAAGTTCTGAGGTTATTGTATCACCAAATCCATTCACAAGCATGTGGATAGACTTTCCTATGTAACGTTCTATATGAATCCTGAAAATGACTGGGTAGCAACAAGAAAACTTAATGTGAGGCATTTGTGTTTATCAAATTCCATGCTGGTTTGCATGACAATAAAATTTTTTTTATTGTAAGAAGTTTTCCATAGAATTTTATCAAAGCAAGATTGGCTGTACTATAATTTTTCTGCCTGAGGATATGTAGAACATCTCCTTAGCTGTCTTGCAAGCTATCTTTATCCAAACTTATTTAAAAGAGTATCTCTAGAAATATCCCCACATTTTATTTTGAAGATTTTTAAAAAGTAACTGTCAGACATTTCTTACCAGTATTTCATTAGGGAGCTAACAAAGCTAACAAAGAAAATAATTTCACATTTTGCAGCTTAAAGGAGACTTTCTTAAAGTCAAGCCAGCTTTTCAATTCCTCAGTTCTTGCAATTGCCAATGCTTGTCCAATCATAGGAATTATCATAACCACCCTTTCTTTGAGTTGCTTGGAAGACTATGACCAGTCATAACTACAGAACTTTGGTTTCCCAGCCGGAAACATGGCTGCTCTCCATGGCATATGCAAGACTTTCAAGCAGGAATCAAATTCCCAAGTTTATTTTAGGTATTAATGTCATATGGACAGACTATGTCAAAGATGAACATGCCTGGAGCAACCATAAAAAGACCCACAGGGGGAAAAAAAAAAAAGCAACTCACCATCACTTTCTTATTGTTACAGATATTTAGCACTGATAGCATGGAAGGAATCAATACGTGGAAAAGAAAATTTTGACCTGAAACACTTCATTTTTAAACAAGGACGTTTATCATGGGTTTAAAGGATAGTGAGTTCACAAGGCCCCTGTGTGAACATGGGTGACCAAGGGGGAGGAGGTTTATAGCGAGGCCACTTCCAGCTGCCAGCAGGTGCGGCCTGGGGGCCAGTCTGAAGACTTGATTCATTAAGTTCTGCCACTCTGGTACTGTACTCTTTATGACAAGCAAAACAAGAAGGAACAGTGAGGCTTTTATTTTTAACCCATAAAACTTAACACTCTGACCTCAACCATATAAACCAGAAGTGAAAGAGGGCATTGCAAATCTGACCAATAAAACTGGAAAAGCACTTCCACGCTGGGATTAGAAGACGCTATGTCTGTGTACACCGGGCAGAGGACGATCTGCAAGCTCCTTTGTGTAGGTGGTTTCAGAACCAGCAGAGCCCACATTCTTTGTAGCATTTCAGACACGTTGGTGAATGGTGGACAGGCTCCTTGGCAAGAGCTGGTTTGCACCAGGGGCTGGGAAGTCTCTTGGGTAGAAAGCCGTGGTGATGGGATCTACCTGGTGGTCCAGTGGCTGAGACTCCTTGCTGCCATCACAGGGAGCCCTGGTTCGATCCCTGGTTGGGGAGCTAGATCCCTCTTGCTGAAATAAAGGCCCAGCACAGCCAAATAAATATTTAGGAAGAAAGAAAGATGTGATGAGGCGAGGAAGGAACCCTCTGTCGTAGAGAGCAGATAGCATCTCGTGTCTGTCAATTTCTTTTCGTGTCAATCCTGAGACACCCGTACCATGTACAACTGAAACTCCGTACACATCCAGTAACAAGTCTCCATTTCCCCTCCCTCCAGGCCCCTGATAACCACCAGTCTACTCTCTGCTTTTGAATTTGACTCTTTTATTTTTGAATTTAAATTCTTTATTAAATCTACTTAGTCATTTTTGTAAATTTTTTATTTTATACTGGAGTATAATTGATTAACCATGCTGTGTTAGTTTCAAGCGTACAGCAAAACGATTCGGTTATGCATCTATAGGAGTCTGTTGTCTTTCAAATTCTTTCCTGATGTAGGTTACCACTGAGTATTGAGCAGAGGTCCCCGTGCTGTACAATAGGTCCTTTTTGGTTATCTGTTTTAATATTGCAGTGTGTACATGTCCATCCCAAGCTCCCAGCATGTAAAGTATGCCGTGATTGTCTCACCTTGGAAGAGAGGAAAGGGCAGAGGACCGAGAGAAGGATGTTGTTTTAATGCTCTCTTCCTGGGGAAAGAGAAGTGAAAATAACACTGATGTCAAGAAGGTGTTCTTAAGTTATGATTTCAAGTTTTTCATAACCATATCATAACTTAAAAAAAAAAAACTTAAAAACGCCTTCTTTTCTGCATGACTTTCACTTCAAGTTTTTATCTACTTAAAAATAAACCTACCTATGACCCAGTCATTCCACTCCTACGTATTTTTACCCAAGAGAAATGATGTATGTTTTTAAAAAAAAAAACCCTTATACAAAATTGTTCATGGCAGCTTTATTCCCAATAGGTAAACTAGGGGATTTTAATATGCTACAGTTGGTGAAACTAGTGAATTATAACTCAACCAAAGACCTACTTTTATGAGAGGCCCAGGCGTATCCCTTAAACTCAAGCTGGAGGACACTGCATCTTCCACAATCTCTTTTGCACATTGTCTGATGAGCCCATGAAAGGAAAGGAATTATCTGGAGAATAGAAGCTCTCGCTACCAAGGTTGTTTTCTGGTGGATCCTCACCAACATATATTTAAATAATGTATGAAGAACCATCCTAAGGATGGGGAAAATAAACTTTGATTCTGAGCCTAAGCCAGGGCTTCAGGGTTTGAGAGATCCACAAACCCAATGTTATGCGAATGGAGACCACCGGCCTCAGATTTGCTGCTGGAGGCGCTGCCCTGGAGGGCGGGAAGCGGCGAATGCAGTTGTAATTCCTGCAAACCTGGGCCCATCTCTTGTCCCCTTGCTTCCCTCTGGAACTCAGTAATGCTGTGTCTCCCTTCGCAGAGTAAGGGATGCGGTTGACGTGAGAAAGTGTGGGACACGTTACACACGGGAGGAAGGGTCTCCAGTCCACGCGCTTTAGGTAATGCTAGCTTTCCTGTTTTTATCGTTGTTCAGTCACTCAGTCGAGTTCCATTCTTTGTGACCCCGTGAACTGCAGCACGCCAGGCTTCCCCGTCCTTCACTGTCTCCTGGAGTTTGCTCAAACTCATGTCTGTTGAGTTGCTGATGCTATCTAGCTTTTCTGATGCCTTCAGCCAGTTCTCCAGGAAACTCTTAATTCATGACAACTGGGTCGGTTTGGGGACCAAGAAGATGGGGATGGTCAGAAAAATCTTGAATACCTGACGCCCTTTGAAATGTCAAAATCCTCTAGACACTGATGTAATCCAGGCTTTAAAAGAAATGGCTGTTTGTTGTGTTTTATTTATTTACTTATTTTTTACTCCACTTCCTATTCTCTCAGAGACACTGAAGCACAGTCCAGCTGGCAAGCAGAAAAAAAAATTAAAAAATGAAGAGACAGGGATGAGATGAAGGGAAAAAACCACTACCAGAGTCTGTATAATTCACAAACTGATTATCGACTTTGGACATTTGAGAGTTGACCCCACTGATATAACTCAGAGCCACCAGAAAGCTGAAGGGGGTCCCCTAACATAAAGCAAGTTCTACACATTCTAGCCATTTTTACGGTGAGCCAGGAGTGATAATTCAACTGAATAATGTTCCTCCAGAGTCTTAGGCATTGTATAGAACTGCTTAATTGTGAAACAGAAAAATCATTTCATGGGGTTTGCATAAGAGCCAGTATATTCAGTAGCAATAAGCAGGTATTGTACTTTCTATTGTAGAGGAAACTGTCCAGTTTAAGCCCTTTTCCTCACTTCTTCAGCGTGAAAAGACTTCCAACTGAATGTGTTTGCATTTTACAGCTTTGTAGCAGTTATTTTAAAAAGGTTTCTGTCCCTTCCTTTCAGGTATTTTGTTTTGGAAGGTTTTGAGATTTTATAAAAAAAAATTATATTAAGGTATAGTTGACTAACAATGTTGTGTAAGTTTCTGGTATTGTTAAATGTTTTTATTTACTGTTTGAGCAGTTGCAAGAACTATCCACCTGTGGTTCCACCATCTTTTGTCACAGGTTCACATGACTTTCAGGGTGATTGTGAAATTTCGTAACTTTTCAGGAAGTCTCTGCTGTTATGGTCCTAGTGGATGGGTGTCCTGGTCTGATGCTCCTGAAAGGACCTGCCAATTATAATACAACAGCAAGTCTTCACAAAGATACATGGAATGTGGGAGGAGGGGTTTGAGCTCACAGGTTTCATGTAGAAATGATACACAGGAGAGGGTGATGAAAGGGGTAAGAGGAAGCAGCCCTTCCTAGAGGCAGCTTCTGATCTGAGCTGCACTGCAGAGGCATAAATCTAAGCCCAGTTCAGTTCAGCTCAGTTCAGTTGTTCAGTCGTGTCCATCTCTTTGTGATCCCGTGGACTGCAGCACGCCAAGCCTCCCTGTCCATCAGCAGCTCCTGGAGTTTACTCAAACTCATCTCCATCGAGTTGATGATGCCATCCAACCATCTAGTCCTCTGTCTTCCCCTTCTCCTCCTGCCTTCAGTCTTTCCCAGCATCAGGGTCTTTTTCATGAAGTAAGTTCTTCACATCAGGTGGCCAAAGTACTGGAGTTTCAGCTTCAGCATCAGCCTTTCCAACGAATATTCAGGACTGATTTCCTTTAGGAAGGACTGGTTGACTCTCCTTGCAGTCCAAGGGACTCTCAAGAGTCTTCTCCAACACCACAGTTCAAAAGCACCAATTCTTTGGTGCTCAGCTTTCTTTATGGTCCAACTCTCACATCCATGCATGACTACTGGAAAAACCATAGCTCTGA